TCTCCCTTAAACATAAATCATCTTCTTCTCCTCTTTCTGAGGGTAAGTCTTTTGGGGGTCATTTGGGGTGGGAATGTTCACAGCTTTTAAACTCTGGAATGGATTATCGTTGCTAATGAGCTATCGTTGCTAATGAGCTATGAAAATCTGGAATTTGTTCTTATATCAAGGGTTATCGCTGTGAGCGACAAAAGTCTGAATGACCGCTGTACGTATGTGGAGCTCAACGGGGTGATGCCTTCTAGGCTAACGGTTAAAATTTTGGTCATTTTACGGCTTAACACTTTTTTCTGTTGTCAACAAACCTTTTTTTAACTGTTAACTTTTTTTACGACTAACGGTTAAAACTTGTCAATTTTTACGCCTAACAGCAAAAGTTTTAAGCCGTTTTACGTTTAATGGTTAACACCATTGAGACCCTCCTGTATGTGTCGTGTGAAGTGTTACCATATGGTAAATGTTCGCCAAAAAAGAAACGCAAAAACAAGAATCAAGTGGCTATGACGCGACATTTGAAATAATCTCAGTGACGTGATGGTCATACTCAATAATAAGTAGAAGTGTAGCTAAAATTATTTGGTGTTTGCCTTGGATTTTCAAACAGTGGTTTTAGCGTTTCACGTTGGATTCTAGGATTAAACCGTTTTCCACACTCTCAATTGAGTCAGACTAACAAACTTTCTCGCTGAATTTTAAGAGCCGGAAGTCTTGGCGATGTAACGGATTCTGCTTATTAGGTCAAGTCTAAAAATTACCGTTACGTCACGCTTGATTTGCCAGATTTCCTTTAAATGATCGTGTATCGTTAGAGTGGTCCAGAGAGGAAATTCGTCATTTTTCCACAAAGCGAGAATGGCGACCTGTCAAATAGTGAAGAGTGTTGTCAGTAAGAACTTCCAACCAGTTCTTGTAAGCGGAGTAAATGACTTAATATAACTCAACCTTTAAATTAATAATTAATTATAATTAATTATATCAATTAATATTTGCAGATCAAACATTGTAAGCAAGAACTCCAGATTCCTGAACACAAATCCTACATACTCTTCACTTACCTCGCTGGAGCGTCTGTTATCAGCCGCCTCGCGTTCTGCAAATTGGGAGACTTTCAATGCGTCAGCCGTTTCTTTCTTTATCAAGTGTCCGTGGTCATATATGGGATATGTGTGTTACTACTACCATTTGTAAAAACGTTTAACTCTTTGGTGATAATATTTGTTGTTTTTGGACTTATGGACGGCGGTGCAGTGGGTCAGTTTTCCCTTCTTGTCTTAGGCTGCGTCGGTCAAAGAAAAGTGAATCAAGGCTGGGGTTACGCCATGTTTAGTGTAGGTTTTGGAGTCGGCACTGGACCTCCACTCGCAGGTAAAAATCATTTTACAATAAGTCCTAACGTAAGTGATCATGTGATACTCTATAGGTCGTTGCATGTGCCATTATGGGCTAAATTGTATAATTGGGAGCTAGAAGAGTTCTCGAAGGTTATCATGGGTATGCAAATCCGAGACTCAGCGAAAGATTTGCATTTGGGGCCGGTAAAAATTTTATATTGTAACAATGAAACTTATTAATTATAATGGTACCTCAGGATACATTGATTAACATTTGTGCATAGCGACTCGCCAAATTTCCTTCAACTTGAAGGAAAGCACAACATTTGATTTGGTAACCAAATGGGAAAGGCCATTCATTCGTTCTCAACCAAACAGGATCAAAACAGAAAACCAATAGCGACTTGATCACTCGTGTTTTCCCGCGCTTTTTTACCCGCGCTTCAGGCAGTTTGCTTGTTTTTACTTCCGGTTCTCATTGGCTCAGGGAGATATTTGCCCTGCTATGATTGGCTGTTATGTTTGCTTTGGTTTTGATTTTATGACACTCAATGTCACTAACATGACGATGTTTACGTCATTTGTGAAACAGGTTTTATGGCGGACGAGAGTGGTTCCTACGCGGTAGCCTTTTATTTATCAGGAGTAGTGCTTATAGCTGGAGCTGCTATCACACTACTGATGAAGTTTGTAAAGCAACCGGACGTAACCGAAGGCCCTGAAGAAGTCAAAGCCCAAGAAATGGGAATTCTGATTGTAGAGAAAGTCACCGTTCTTTAATTGAGTTCGGAGAGTAGAAAATTTCCAGGTCAATTTACGCGGATTGCCCCCGCCTTAAAATGGTTAACTGAAGTCTGAGTTTGGTTTTGTCAAAAATGTAATTTAGATGTATCCTTGAATAAGGCGTGTGGCTACATTCGCAACCCACTTACCAAGGGAAAAAATGTTTGAAAAGCTGCCTCAGAAAGCGTAGTTCGTTTGAAGCTCTTTCAATATTGACAGTTCTTAAATCTAAGAAGGATACGGTAGATCCAATGTGTTTAAAAATTTGACAAGAATGCACAACTCTAGTGCGTTTTATTCAATAAAGAGTTTGACTTGCTTACAAGGCCCCGTGAAGGAAGTAGTAACTGAGCCGTACAATTTTTAAGCTTTGAAAAATCATTAATTAGTTTCGCACGGTCCATCGACGATTTTATCAAGAGAGTTCCACCATACTAATTTAAAATTTTGTAAAACATTGAAGCGTTTATTTCCACCTACTCACAACTCAGGCGTATCGGAGGACATCTTAGCTAGAAATTAAAATTGTTATAATCTTAATGCAAGAAAATTGAACTTTAGAGGTGAGTTTTTACGATGGTTGCATTTCTGAGATAAGCGTGAGATTTGACTTCTTATATTATAGTCCGTTTAATTTAAAAATATAGTCTATTCTTTGGCCGATTGTGGAAGAGTTAATGCATGCAAAGTGATAGCCTTTACCAAAAGCATCCAGATGAATCGTAGACAGAAGATTCGCTCATAGAAAAAGAATAAAATAAAAAATTTTCATGCAACCGAGCAAAAATATCAAGTTTATCCGTTCAAAAAAACCAAAAGAAATGAAAGAAATACATATTTTGGCTTTTCAATAGGTTGGAAAACAATCAAAAGTACCTATTTACATGTGTCACGATGTAAACAAACCGGGTTGAAGGAGTTACTGAAACCGGTCTAGAGAAAATATTTTTATCGGCAGTATTGAACTTCAGATAATGCTTTTTATTCGGAGTTCGAATTCTTATATGCTCAGCATATTCAAACGCATAATGCTATTGTTGAATCAAATCAAATATAGCCATCATTCTACAAATGCTCTAACGGGTGATAGATTTTTTCGTTTCTTTTCTCTTTGCAGAAACAAAATATAAATAACGTCCCTCGAGTAAATATCTTATGCTAACAACCACCTTGCCATCGACTGATATCGAGTTTATCACCTCACCACGATGGTCTAAGTCATGTAGTAATCTGCAAAATTCATTCTATCGTAGCCTCTTGTCTCAATTAAATCAAGTTCTTGAGATGTCATCACATCAGTGAATTAGCGCATTTAAGCGTCGATTCAGTTGAGCGGTCCATGATTTACAACCCTACGGCCCTGAAAGCAGGTCTCGAGCAAAAAAAACTCCGCCTGGTTTTACATTTTTTCAATAGTTGGGATCAATGAATCTGACAGTTATTTTAACGGGTGGAGCACGCTCGCTAATTGATTGAGCTCAACAGGTGTAACATCGTTTCACAACTGGTGGCGAGAATTCGAATCACGTGACCAAAGGTCGAACCGGTACTGTTTTTTTGGACATGAATAAGAGATAAGATTCAGCCATCTAGCTTCTTGGTGTTTTTGTTCTTCTGGGGCCCGTCCCGCTCTTTACACAATTCATTTAGATTAATTGAGAACTTACGCCAAGGAAGAAAAGTTAAAAACTCGGGCGAAAGAGGTGCGATGGAGATCTGATCGCTGCAAGATTGAAGCACGAATTTTAATTTAGAATGCCAAGCCAAGAGCGACCACTTCGGTAAATTCTAGTTGTTGCTTGTCCCTCTCGTTTGTGTATTTTGGCCAAAAATCAGGATTTTATCATAGTTAGGTAAGTACCTCAGGTTTTATTCAGGCTTAAATTCGACAAAAATTATAGAATAACATAAGTTATTGAAAGTAGAGTTTAAATGTGTTTTGAAATGCGCTTTTCCTTGAAAGCCGCATATATAACAAGGCGTTATTTTGTCAGACGATAGAGTTGGTTTTGACAGGTGAACTTTATTCAGATATTGGCCTCTGTAGAATTCTTTGAACAGTCTGCGTTGTTTCTGTTAGATTAACAGCGTCTTTCTAAACGTGATGAATGATCAGAATTAGAGGTAAATGTGGGGTATAGAAGTCAATTTGGTTAGATAGATAAACTTCCGTGATCTAAGGGTTGAAGTTTTCTATCTAACACAGCAGGAGAGAGAGGGTTGAAAAATGTTCTCGCATTTTTTTTTTATGTAAAAGTTAACAAAAGGATTTTTATGTCCTTGTTTACATCGTAAGATATTTTTTCTCTAAAGCTGGCTTCATAATCGAATGCTACTTTATCGATACATATGACATTAAGAACCGAAAAGAAACTTTAATATACGAAAAGCAAGATGTCTGCCTTTTTGGTAAACTTATAGAAAATATTGTAACAGACCTTGCAACGCTCGAACAGAGATCTTACAAGACCACAAGTGCTGACGGAGATTTCTGAAATAGATTTCTAAAACTATGGCGTATCTTCTCGTAGACTTACAAAAGCTATTTTACTTGATAACTGATGACTAGTAACACAAACGAATCTTTCTCTTGATCTCTACTAGGACCCAAGCGTGACTCACGCATATCTCGAAACCAAATGAGACTTTATGCGTTAGGATTATTTCTCTTACTGACCTGGGTAGCAAAATCGTCAGGAAGTAAGTACGATATCCAACTTTTCCCCGCTATATAATAGAAAGTTTCATTTTGTTTACAAAATATATCTCATTCCATTGATAGTTGCACTCTTATTGTCTTTCTAACAAAGTTTATTTGGGTCCAGTGTAATTTTTAACAGATATTTTTAATCGCTCAGAATTTCAAAAAGCTTTATTTGAAAATTAAAAAAAGACGATCATTAGAAAGAAAAAAAGATTTAGACTAAGCTTGGAAAAACGGCAGAAATATGTCTGTAATGCATAACTAATTTACTCTTACTAATTAATTTACGATACCCCTAAATTTGACCAGTGCGGTCGTTAACAAGTGTGGAAATTTAATTGATCTCTAAATTAAGAGTATATTTTCTTTTAATCTAATAACGAGCGAAGATTTTTTACTTGAACGATGGTGTGCTTTAAAAACAACCATGAAAGATATTTTAAGATCAAGTTTCAGAGTTTACGATTCTTCTGAAAGATTAGACACACTGTTTTTAGCCCTACCACTGATATACGTGATACATTTCTCCATTCTCGGCACCCAGTGTGGCATTTTAAAAGGAAAAATGAAATAAGTGTAATTTTCTATTTCTTGTTTAGATAAAAGAGCCCATCATAGTTCTCAACCTCACTCTCATGTGCGACGTTCAATTCATGAAGACCATGGCAAAACTAAAGATTCCTCTAAGCGCCTTTACGAAATGTTGGTGAGAAGGAATACACTAACAAGACGAAGGAGGGAACTCATGACAGGTCCACGTAAGTGAAACAATTGAAGCTCAAGTCACGGAACAATTCCTCCAAACGCCTTCCTTACTGAAAAGACTCATTCACGCGTGCACCTTACAAGAAGTTTCAAAGCTATTAAGTTTTTTAATCCTTTTTTCTTCTTTCTGTTGAAAAGTGACGTTTACAGCGTTTGCAAACGGCAAAAATGACATTTACGGATTGTGCAATGAGGAAAAATCCTTTCTACTGAAAATAGACAACAAGTTAATTTACGGCGAATCTCGTGCTTCCTCATTCCAAAAAATGTATTTCATGTTAAGGGCTATGTTATAAGCGTCAAAATGGTCCAAAAGAGGATATTGTTTATCTATCAATGTTGTGATCAAAGGTTACCAAAACTAGACAGTTCAATGCATCCATTCTGAATCAAGTTTGCAGGCTCTCCATCTTCCCCCTGGTCCCAGCCCACGCGCAGTTTGCATCTAGTTCCAAATATATATAAAGAAAACGCTAACCTTACAATTTGCTCACTTTAAAAAAATATTGAATTTTATTACAGCCACGAAAACTAGGGTGGAAATAAAATTCAAAAAGAAATGGCTTGAGGAAATGTCCGACAGTCAGAGTTCTCAGTATAAGCTGCTGGATGGGAATATTGTTGATGCGGTAAGTACCTCTCCTCTCACAATCCTTTTAGATAAATGTGTTTGGTTGAAAAATATTTCTTAATTTGATCGTCTGGTTCAATTTTCAAGGTGAGAGTGGTACTTAAGAAGTTTATCAGTGATTATTGCTAATGATCAAACTACTATAATTCGATTCTTTCCAGAAATTGAGATCACCCTTTTTCTCTAAGACGAACCATTCCTTGTACCTCAATCATTTTGACTTCATTTCTTTCCTTTGTTTTCATTTACCTCATTTTATCGATTTATTATTTTTTCCTTATGATTTTTTGATAAATTTCTATAGATAACAACAGAACTTATTGGGGACACAAACTACCTCAGTTCGGCAGTGATGACGTTAAAGTGAGTAATATGAACAATCATATTTGAGAATTAATTAATTGCATGGCCAAATTTCGCCATTATTTTTTGATAATAATGATTCCAAGCGACTTTTTGCCTGCTAGCCAATTATGCCCTCCAATTCACATCACGTCATCACGTTACGTTGGTGTTCAGTTTTCTTCGCTACCCCAATGGATAGAAATTCTATTTATTCGAGCCAACTTCATAAATATATAGAAAGTTTTTGAGATCGCCCTCAAAATTTTAGGGCGTCTTCGGAAACCTTCGAGCGTCTTTGAACTGTAGAGTATTGGTGTCCCGTTGTCCACACACAAAACAGGGGAATGGCTTTGCATAAGATTCCACAATAAAGCGTACAAGGAAACTTAAAATTACCCATGCTGAGTTATTTTGGCTTTTTTTTCTTCTTCTGTAGAAGCTCCAATGAGCCTAAGTCAAACGTTTTAGCAGACATCGAGCTGCAGTTTGTATCGGACGAGCTTGATCCGGTTAAACATCTCCGTGCTATTGTGTCAGATGGACACATCTCTGGCATGGTGGTCTACCCAGATTACTTTGTTGTCCTTGGAGGTAATGTCTTGTGCGATACATACAGGAATTGTTGGTGTTGCTGTGCTGTCCTAGTAATACATATATATATTTAGTTAGTGTTGTGTTGTTATGGCCGTTGATGTTGTTTTCCAATGAGCTACTCTTAGCCGTTTGATTTGTGTGGCTAATAATGCTGGAAAATTCTGCAATATCTCCAATATAATCCAAATTTTTATTCTTCCTTTGTTCAGTTTCCAGCTTCTTAAGACTCCCTGCTTGTTTCATTTATGTATTCTCAAAGACTAAATATTAGAATACTATGTGTTCTCAGAGTTGCAAATAAAATGAAAAGTTACCTTTTCATATAATTATTAATCACGAATATTTTAGGCAACAACAACCCAAGTGCTGCTGATCAACAGAACAGCAATGTAGCACCCACTCTAAGTAAGTACATATGGCCAAGAAGTCACGCTGTCGTATTGGTGAACCAAAAGCTAATTTACCAGATTTCCCCTCACCCCTTCCCCCTCATAAGTCTCTGTAGTATTCTATTGATCCCTTCATAAATCCTTAACAGTTCCCCAATATATTCTGTAAGCAACAACTGATCTCCCGCCTGTTCCCCCTGAAAACCGTGTTATCATCCAAAAATCCACCACCCCCTTGCCCTTCGACGATGAATAATGCATTCGTGATTGGTCCCTAACCAAAGGGGAGACTGGGGGGGGGAGGTTCTGAACACCGCAATACCACAAAAAAATTCGGCTAATACCGCAATATCGCAACAGAAAGTCGCCAAATACCGCAAAACTTCAATCACGAGTCGAAGCTCGATGTCATGCCGAAACCATTACTCTGTTACGCCTAAAGTAAATAACAAGGAAATAACAACTAAGAGTTGCCCATTTGAACCTGTACCCGAAACAATTGGAAACTGGAAAAGGCTCCGAAAACGGTGAAGGACTTGGAGAATACTAGTAATAACGCCGAAAAAGCTTTAAAAATCGCATACCGCAGTTCGAGATAAAAATTGCCGAAATACCGAAAGAAAAACAGTCCAGTACTGCAGTACCGCACATACCAATGTCCACCCCACTCCCCCCGACCAGCCTTTATTCAGTGACTATTATTAATATTCAACTGATAAATTACTACTTCATAAGACTGATTATTCATTTCATCTTTGTCTTCGTTCTAGTTCAAGATTTCCCTTTCGATGTGAAATTGCAGTTATCTTGGCATCCCTTCCTTAGCGATACAAACAATCCTAAAACGAAAACTTTGAGTTCTTCCATTGAGAACACTGTAAGTATAATTTACTGATACTACACGATACACTGCAGGTACTCTGAAGTCAACCTAATCTTTTAAACTTCTCTCCGATTTTAGACTATCAAAACATAAATTTTTGCAATTTTTTTTTTAATCATCTATTTGTTTTTTTTAAAGCTCAAAAAGTTATTCGCAGGTGATCCATCGTTCATTGATGCTAAAGTAATCGGATACAAGTAAGTTCAATATGTCTTTCTCTTTGTTTTTGATCAAAGTTAAACAGGTTTCGTCTGATACTAGTAGTCTTTACGCATTTCTGTTATTCTCCAATTTGACCCAGCATCCCATATGTGTGCAATTCTTCGTTGCAAAGTTGCGAGTAAAAAGAAGATCATAAATGCAAGGGGCCTGGCTCTAGGCAGTGATAAATTATCAAATATCAATTTGAAGTATTCCGAATCTCTCATTTTACAGTGAAGATCCTGATGGAAATCCCCATACAAGAATTGTTCTTCGATTTAAACCTAATACAACAGATCCCGAGGAAATACTAAAGAAATTGGTAACAACTGGTCACCTCGGAGAAGTTCCGATCTTCAATGACTATCTGAGTAAGTGCATCCCACAAGTTTTGATTGGTTATCCCGCAATAGCAATCGGTTGTGAATCTGTTCTTTTTAAGGAAAAGTAAAACTGATAAAAGTTATGCGATTCGCGCATGTTGGGTTAGAAAACACTTAACTGAATTCAAGCTTACACGCTTCTTCACCTGGTTTCAATCTCATTTTCGTTGAATAATAGTCCATTAGTTGCAGTCTCGTTTAAGTCACTGATCCAGACATTCTTTTTTTCTTTTATCAGATGGTCAGATGAATCCAACGCAGAACCCTCCCGTCTCGCAACATAACGCAGTGCCCCAGTTGAACGCTACATCAACGCCTCAGGCCGCTCCTGCACCAGCTCCTGCCCCCGCTCCGGTACAAGCAGTACCATCACCAGTGGCTCCTTCTCCAGCAATCCCAGTGGAGAATAACACAGTGGAAGTAAATCCTCCCGCTTCAGTGGTACCCCAGGCCCAACCCACCGCTGCTCCAGCAACTTCAGCTGCTCCCCAACCTACACTACCTCAAGACCAGCCTGTGCCCACCAATTCACAAATTCCGTATGCACAGCCTGGCGAGTGTAAGTATCAGAGAGATTTCTTTCTTTCCTTTTTTTTGCATTTTCTCATTTTGTAAAGGACAACAGTTCACCGAAGACTCGAATGAAAGATTGGAAATATTTTGATGGCTTTTCAGCCTAATGCATGAATAATCAGCTTCCAAACTACTTTAGAATTTAACTATCGACATGTACCATAACCAGCGATAGACAATGTTCGGTCTCAAATCAATTCATAATTTTTTAACACTCCTCTTCGAAAATTTGAACGACTTTTGATTGCAACCATCATAGCGGTGGAGTGTATGTTGCAGTCTACAGCGTATTTATTGATCCGTAAACATCAACGTTTAACCCTTGAAATCCCAGTAATGATTAACACGTAACTTCTCCCTATAATATCCATACAGCTAGAGGGGAGAACTAGCAATCAGATATAGAGTGTTGGATGGTTTGTCAAACCAAACATTACAGTTCAACGGAGAAAAGATATGGCTAAAAAAAATTATTAATCTTATTGCATTTTGATTCCAGCTTTGAATGGAACAATAAAGTTGAACGAGTCGTGGTACGATTACATGGGAAATACGCAGAGTTCAACTTTCAAGATATTAGCAGAAGATATTGAGCAAGCGGTGAGCATATTCCTCAATTGTTAAAGTTATTTTGGAAAATGTCTATCTGTCGTCAAATGCAGGATCGACTGCGTGATCAGTTGAAGGACTGTGGTGCTTTTTAAATTGTTCAACTGAAACTCACTCACTAACTTACAGACTCATGCAACGAAAAAGGGGGGGGGGTACGTTTTTAAAGAAGCTGTGATGCTGGAAACGGCTCACGCTCGATCTGACGAAGGGCTAACTCTCGAAATGTCGGCTTTAGAAGCTCTTTACGGTGGCCTACTTGCATTATTAACTCAACTGATAGAGCCAAATTATCTTCTGATTCAATGACTGACTCACTGACTGAGTGACTGGGCGGCATTGTGAATGACTGATTGAGTGTCTCCGTGACTGGATAGCTGGTTGAATATTTGACTGACCGACAGATTAACTGACTCACTCACTCGTTCAGATCATTGCACCGCACGTATTAGTTCTAAAAATAAGGAAACAGCACCTAGTAATCGTTTTATTTAACCTTTACACATTACACAGATAAGAAACGCGTACGAACCGTACAGGTATACAGTAACATCCAAAGTTACAGGACTAAGGTAAGCATTCCATTTACATTTTTAAATTTTATTTTATGAAACTCTTAAAGCTGTTAAGTTATTTTAACGCATTCAACAGGACCAGGTAAACTTCTCGTAGGGAAAATGATTAAATCATCTGATTATTTCTGCTCAAGATATACGTGTTCTTAATAGGTAAAGGACTAAAGAAACTTGAAAGAATTTCATTCCCTCCCTTCCTTCTACAATCATTTATTCATTTATTTATTAACTCAATTTGTTCACTTGCAGCAAGACAAATGATAATGAAGTACTAGCTTCATTTACGATTACCTTCCCCCCCGGAGAGACCCCGACTCTGATACCTTTACAGCAGATCGTGCAGGGGGGTCTTCTTGGTGGTATCCCCGTGTTTCGTGATTCTGTCCTGGAAGCAGGTTTGTAGTTTTTAAAAAATTCGCAAGGGGTTGTATTTTAAATCTTTCAGTAAGCTCTTGAAAGAATAAAGAAAACAAAAATGCAGTGATAACAAATAACTATCAAAAGGGAAATATATTTACCGATTAAGTTATGTAAAACAGTCCTGAGTGAACATTAAACGGTAATAATCTCGGATTCAATTTTTTCAGCCATGTCAGTTAGTCGTTTGAACGCGGAGTTAAAGTCAAACGGCACTTAAAACTGCGAGCATTGCCCTTTTATCAAGGAGGTCTGTTGTGCATGGGAACAAAAAAGTTAAATTATCATACACCGACAATTAAAACAAATCAAGACGGTTTTGACCCTTCAACTCCAAGATTATTATTTGATCCAATAACAAATTCTCCAAACTAGCATAGTAAGGCTTGTATCGCAGACAGTAAGGAAAATTATTAATGAGATCTTGGGAGTGAAATGGTTAGTCCTGTTTTGTTCCAGTTGGATTGATTTCTGGTTACCAACCTGAGTCGCCAAGCAAGCCTGCTTTTTTTAAAAAAAAAAAAAAGATTTCTCTTTCATCTTGAAAATTACTGATGCAATACTTGTGTGCATGATTAACGATTGGTCTATCAATTCCAGGCATGCGCACAACACCTTCTCCAATTGCATACGCTCCAACAAGTCCTTCATCAGGTATGTGTTTTCAAAATTTGAGATACGTACACGAAACTCTTGGCATAAAGATCGCTGTATCTGTTTTTAATCCCTCGTTAGCCAGATGGTTGAAGTCTAAGATCGTGACTCCATGAACGAACCTTTATCAATGAACAGAACTTCTTTTAGAGCTTGTATTTTCGTGATATCAATGGGAAATTTCCGACAGAGATCAAAGTAGTCGCAAACGCAAAAATTCAAACTTTCCCTGGTAACATCTCTCCCATCCTTTCCATTGTCATCGATTCCTAATAGTTCTGCCAAATATACGTTACTTTTTCGTCGGGGTCCTACAAGAGCAGATTTTGAAAACCAATTTCTATACGTGCACTATAACTTGACACGTTCTCTCTTTAAACTTGATATCCTCCAGCCTGGTCGAACAACTCCTTGTCACAAAACTATACCGTTCCAGCCAATAATATGACGTTGGCTCCTGCAGCTTATCCCAATGCCTCTCAAACATTCAATGCCACAGCAGTAGCACCAGCTATTGAACCTGCCCCAGTTCCTACTGCAGCTGTGTATGCTCCGACGCAGTCGGTGTACAATGCCACTGCAGCTCCTGTCCAAGTGCCGACTGGTTCCGGTAGGGGTTTTTTTCCTTCTTGTGATGATGTCTTTTCATCTTTTTCGCTTTTTTTCCAGTTTAGTTTTATTACTTTGTTGAGTTATTTGTGTTTTTGTTGTTTGTTTTGCCTTGGTTGTTTGTTTGTTTTTTGTGGTTAATTTTTCAGTGAGTAAATCGAGCATGTCAGGATGTCATTATTTTTTCTGGAATTTCCTTGCTGTACGAATAGCTTGGTTCTAATCGTTCTCGGAAACCAGGAGAAAACAAATTACAAATTAAAAAAAAAACAAAATTATCATTCGTAAAACCAAACACGATTGGAGTAAAAAAGTCAATATGTTCCCGCAAAATCATTAAATGGGAATGAGAGATCGTCTTTGTGATGTATCCGCATAATAAGAAGAAGGTGTTTTTTTGTTTGTTTCCTTTTTATTCAGTCACCTACGAGCAGAACACTTCGGTGTCTAACACTTCCAATGTGGCATCTGATCAGTATGGTAAGCTCTTTGATATCCAATTATTAACCCTGGTTTACCCTCTCTGTAGAGGGAAGACAAATATTATGAACCAGAGGGGCATTTGCAAATTTTTCTCCATCTAGTCATTTTAGATCAAATTATGAACAATAAGTGAAATGTCAAATCCGATTTTTAAAGAACATAATGTATGTATACCCTTAGAGCATATGAATTAAAAAGTTACGCTTTTGTCGATCATGTGGTTTTCCTACGCGCCTTTGCAATATCACTTCTTTTGAATGTCGCATACCACCTGCAGAACCTGCTGAAATCAAAAAGGCTTTATGCCAACTAAACTGCAGGAAGAGAGGATAGTTTAAGGACAGCCCATCTCAGTCCCTTGAACTACGAGTGGTGGATTAAATTTTCCAGTTTGATCCGAAGGTTGAAGGAAGCTTCGTTAATCTTTTACCACCTCTTTCTAATTTAGGGCAAACATCCAACGTTCAAACACAGACTTCAGGCTTGGGTAAACTTTCCACGCCACCTGGTTATACTGGAGGTCTTATACCACTACCGGCAGGTAAAATGTTGAAAGGCTATAACATCTATTTTTTCAATGTAGGCTCGAAAGCGAACAACGGGTAGCTTCTTCATTTGTGTGTATATCTCAGAATGAGTTTTATTTCAAACTTTAGTCAAATTCAAAGCTCGAGTACGTCCCGTTTAATCGAAGATAAAGTTTTAAAAGTATTGTAAATTTTCCATTAAATTGCTCTTTATTTGTTCTAGATTTGAAGATACTCAGCTATCACTTCTTCTCCTGATACTCTTGTTGTCACTTAAACCAAAATCACGATCAGTTTTACTTTCTCTGTCCTTTGGAACTTCTGTTAACAACCCCATAATTTGTTAATAAAGTAATAAAGGTGGCCTTCTCGCCACGAATACAAACTCTTGCATCTACATGTGTCTCTCTACCCCTCCCCTTCTAAGTAACACAAACCCTTGACGTTACATGTTTCTCTCCACCCTTCCCCCTCTAAGTAATGGTCCATAATGTAATATATATAAACACTTAGTTAAATCTATAATTATGTTTCAAGCAGTAGGCCTTCTTATGTGAAATTATTTTTCATTGCCAATTTTTTTCTTTTGACAATCCACATCTCAGGAATTCCCAAGTCATGCGCAGAAATCCGCGCATCTGGAATCGGGTCACAGGACGGGGAGTATGTTATTCAAGCACGGCCAGACTGTCACTTGAACATTATTTGTCAGAACATGGACGAACCAAACCCTATAGAGTTCCTAGGTGGTCCGGAACAAAGATACTGGCTTTATTGGCATTATGCAATCCTTATAAGGTTGTCAGCTTATGACAAAGAACACGTGGACAAGAGAGCTTGCCTTGAAAACACCGGTACGTTCAAAGGGAGAAAAGACAGGAAATCTAAATTTCACTTTTACGGGAAAGAATTAATTATTGTTAACATTCTTCTCTTGCGGCTGTTTCTCAGGCCCGTTTATAAAACTTCTCCTTGGAATGCGCTGTAGTTTTTGTTCATATGGTTGTTGCTGTTATCATTGTTGTTGCCGTGGGTGACTTTTTCACCCCTGTAATGGCTGTTGTTGTAATAGATTCAGTTATACGTTTCATTTGGTGTTCATTATGATACAAATGCTGATAAAGGTGTGGCAGATATTTCAGTGGAATGGCGACCATAATTGCATTCCAGTATCTATCCATGCCGTGGTAGTAACTGCACCTTTTAAAATTTACCAGTGGCGAGTCCAAATACTAAAAGATGCAATAATTTATTTTTTCTATTAGCGGATGGCCGCACATTTATTCACAAGGTGATGGACGCTGGTGTAAGACAAGGAAATCCCCTTGTTCACTGGAAAACCAACATTAAGCACATGATAAATAACTTCATCGGAAAAATGAAGAAAAAGAGAGAACTGAGAGAAGATATCACTCTGAGCACAAAAGCTATGAAGATTTATAAAAGGTCAGGAATATAAGTTAGAGTTGTTCATGAACTTGAGAATGGCTACAATTTTCTCTCAACAACATGACTCAATGTTCAGCTCAGAAAAAAAAAGATTCGTCTTTAAATTTAAGGTAAAGGTAAAAGGGTTGTATGGCTACACTTGACAATTATCATTCCCTGATACAAAAAGCAAGGCACCATAAGCTCAACCTACTATATTAGAAAATGACCATTATGACACCTTATTCTGCGGTGGTTTGTTCATTCACGAGGATAAAATAATGATCTTCCCTTTTTATTTTTAGATTTGCATCGCAAATGGAAAAAATGGAAAGAGGAAGGAATATGGATATGTAGATTTTAAAAAAATGTTAATTTTCGCTCAGCCTTCCCGCAGTCCGTCTAAGAGTAAATCAGACTTGAATTTGCTTTAACCTCATATGTTTCTTTAAACATACCTCATCAATCTTGTACACTTTGCACTTAGAAGTCAATTTGTAGAACTTTTTATTACGTTTTTCACCTCGTGAAATTGAATTTGGATTTGCTGTTTACAACGTATCTGCTGTTGGAATGTTCTTACGGCAATGATTAAGTTCTAATCAAATTTATTTAATAACAAGATTTTGAATGAATTTTACCCCTTCTTAAAATCTAATTCCAGCTTTAAAAAAGTCCGAGGAATGGCCTTTGCCACTCTGAAGAAACTTAGTAGAGTTATATCTACAAAATCTCACCTGTTCCGAAAATACAAGAACGTCCATCAATTCTAGATGAAAAATATCAAAACAATTAACTCACCAAGTTTCTTTTAATTGCCTGCTTAATTGAAATCTACTTAGTTGATTGTTCCTAATGACTTCTTCAAAAAAA